AAACCCTAAACCCTAGAGAGCGAGCGGCGAGGGGGAGGGGGGTTCCGGTGGTGGGGATGGCGGTTACTTGTGGGAAGAGGAAGAGGAAGAGGAAGAGGGAGGCGAATGTGGTGGGATGGGGATGGATGGAGATGATTCGGCCCATGTATGTATAAAAGAGCAAGAGGGAGGCGAATGGACAGACGGGTCGTGTATGGGCCTGGCCGGCCCAGGTTGAAGTGTCTCTGCGGAACACGCTCCTAGTGGACTGGGCTGTGTCGGCCGGATAGGAGGGCTCGTGGTGGGATGTTGTTGTATGTACCCGGCCTCTGCATGGCAGGGATACACAGAATTAACACCAACACACATGCACACATGACACTCGGCAAAAAATGCAAAGTTATATAATACCAAATCTATGCATAAGCCATGAATTTTTTTGAAGAAATCAAATCCGTGACTGAAAATGTATAATTATGACCCGCCCCCGAGACACGAAGGGGAGAGCGATTCCGGTGGCGGTTACTTGGAGAAGGCTTGCAGCCCTTCATCTTCATGTATCAAAAAGAGGAGGAGGAAGAGGGAGGCGAATGGACAGTTCATATACATGCCCAAATGTTTGCGGCATAGGAGGGCTTGTGCGGATGCTTGACGTGGCCTTGCTCGAGTTGAAGTGTCCATGCAAAACATGCGTCGAGTGGAATAGACTGGACTGGACTGGGTTGTGCCACGGTGTAACCGGGGCGAATCCGAAAAGGCCGACCCATTCTCTCGGCATTAACCAAATCGTCCCTAATCTAGCCCGACTGATTGTGGGGCCTCATATTTAGCGCATAGGGCGTTGGGTGACCCTGTTTTGTTCGCAATTTCAAAAAATACTCCCATGTTTAAAATTGTATTCGCGTTTCCAGAAAAGCATACAATACAAATTTTGTTCGCAATTTCAAAAAATACTCCCATGTTTAAAATTTTATTCGCGTTTCTAGAAAAGCATACAATAAAAATTTTGTTCGCATTTTTCAAAAAGTTCCTGTTTTAAATTTTTTGGTGCTGAACTTAAAAAAATGTTTCTGCTTTCCATTTTTTAACTAAAAACTGTTTGCGATCTCAAAAAATGTTTGTATTTTTTGTAATGTGTTTGTTTCTTAGAAACATTTTTAAAAATTGTTCGCGTTTTGGAATCTGTTTTGGGTTTGCGAATTTTGTTCGTGTTTCATTTTTAAATCAGAATTACAAAACATCTTCACTTTTCCAAAATATTGGAATACGAAAAAATGTGGTATTTCAAGAAATATTTTCAAATCTCAACGCTGCTGTCTGTTATTATAGATTCCTGCACCTTTATCTTCAGTTGGTGGTGTGTGGTGTAGTGGCTAATGGCTCACGGTTGGAGTGTGTGTTAGTGGTATCGATTCATGGTACCCGTTGTTGATTTTCAGCTTTTTTTGTCGGGGTGGTGGGCTGGCTTACTAATCCTTCAAGCCAGCGATAAAAGAAAAGAACTAATCACAGCACTTGAAATGAACACCTGTTGAAAACTTTCAAACATTTTTCTTGCAAATTGTAAAAATAAATAAAATGCAAGTAATCTTTCAAAATATGAACATTTTCTGAAAGATGCAAACAAATTATGAAATTTTAATTTTTTACGAAAAAGAGATATTTTTTAAAAAAATTAACGTTTTATGGAATATCAAATTTTGAATATTTTTTAACAACTCGAATTAACTTCAAAATATCGAAAAAAATTCGAAATGTGCGAACAATTTTTGAAGGAAATGAACATTTTTTGAAACTACGAAAAAAAATAAAAATTCTGATTTTTTTTAAGTTCTAACAATTTTAAAATTCTGAAGAAATTTGGAAATATCTGAACAATTTTTTGAAACAACAAACACTTTTAGAAAATCTCGCACATTTTTTGAGTTTGGCAACAAAATTATAAAAACAGGAAAATTATTTTAAATTTGTAAAAATGAAACCAGAACATTTATCAATTTGTGAACAAATTTGGAAAAAAGGAACAGTTTTTAAATTTCTGATAAATTTTTAAAAAAATATTTGTTTTGAAAATACTGAACACTTTTTGAATTCTTGAACAAATTTAGAAAAAAAGGAACATTTTCAGCTTCTGCACAATTTTTAAAGACACGAACATATTTTGAAAATCTTATCATTTTTTGAAACACAGGTTTTTTATCAATTTATGAATAAAAATTGAAAAAGGGACATTTTTAAAATTCTTAATTGAAGATTCTTCTTAAATTAAAGATAAATTTGAAAAAGGATAGAAGAAAAGAAACAGAAACAGGAAAAGGAAATTAACTTGAAAATAAAAAAGAAGAGGTAAAGAAACAGAAACAGAAAAAAAGATCCAAAAATCCGAGAAAACAAGTAAATACCCGATTCAGGAAATTCTAGAAGGTTCCTAAAACCGGGATCCTGTAGCACGTTAACGCTGCTGAAAACGGGCCGGCGCATGTTGTTCGCCCATACTCTTCCCTGTGTGTTTCGGCGACAGTTTGCCGCAGAGAGCGTCCGATAGGATATTCCTTCTTTTTTAAGCTATGGATCAACATCCAATGATTCACATCTCATCTAGCTTCGTATATAAACTACGGAACTGAAGTTGACTAAAGTTGTATGATTTGGGAGGTGAAAGTTTAGATTAACCAAGGCGCAATTTTAGGTGAATGAGATTTTGTAAAAAAAAATAGGCAACTACGAATTAGCAAATCCGATTTAACAAATACATTTAATGACTGCTATAATATTATCAGTTTGGTTGTGTTGATGTTTGTAATTCTTAGCAACAGTCAAAACAAATAACTAAAAGTGCTTATATTTGTGACCGGAGGGAGTAGTTCACAAGAAGAAGAAAAAAGAGTTGTAATAGCCACACACACAAAAAAAAAAATGTATTTACTTATTTTTCATTTCACTTGGAATTGGAATCACCCGTGTAACTAGTCTATGCATGGTATGAAAAGTTTGAAAACCACATTTGAAGCTTTCAAAGGTGGGTTTGTTTATACTAGCTAGGTTTATATAATAATCACCTACTGCCGTCCTGGGTAAGGTTCAAAGGTGCTCCGTCCATCTCTTTGACTGAATTCATATATCCACAGTCCTAGATTTTTCCTTGGCCTGGATCGGACCTCCAGCTGATTGGTCGTGCTCTATAGACTATAGCTAGCTTTACATCATCCAGGCTATAAATAAATCTCGCCGCAGTGCAAACTAGAACTCCACACAGCTAGCCATGGCCAGCAGCATGAAGCTATCTAGTCTGCCTATCCTCCTGGTCCTCATCAGATGCCTCAGCCTTCAAAGCCCGGCCACCGGCAGCCAGGACCAAGAAAGCTTCCTCTACACCGGCTTCGCCGGCAGCAACCTCACCCTCGACGGCGCGGCCACCATCACGCCGGCCGGCCTCGTCAAGCTCACCAACGAGACGTTCCGGATCAAGGGCCACGCGTTCCACCCGGCGCCGGTGCGCTTCCGCGAGGCCCCCAACGGCACGGTGCGGTCCTTCTCCATCTCCTTCGTGTTCGGCATCCTCTCCTCATTCGGCGACATACGGGGCCATGGCTTCGCCTTCTTCGTCGCCCCGAGCACCGACCTCTCCGCCGCCTTCCCCATCCAGTTCCTGGGCCTTATCAATGCCACTAATAATGGAAGCACGAGCAACCACCTCTTCGCCGTCGAGCTCGACACCATCCAAAACACCGAGTTCGGGGACATCGACAACAACCATGTCGGCATCGACATCAACAGCCTCAACTCGGTGAAATCCAACACCGCCGGCTTCTACAGTGATAGTAGGGGCGATGGCATGCTCACAAACATGTCCCTTATTGGCTCCGGGCCAATACAAGTTTGGGTGGAATACCATGGGGAGTCCACACAGATCAACGTGACCTTAGCACCCCTTGGTGTCACAAAACCAGTGAGGCCATTACTCTCAACCACCTATGACCTCTCACCGGTGCTCACAGACCAAGCCTACCTTGGCTTCTCATCTTCAACAGGTTTAAGCACAGGCCATCACTATGTGCTTGGTTGGAGCTTTGGAATGAACACCCCCGCTCCATTTATAGATACCACCAAACTACCCGGGCTACCTTACCTTGGCCCAACACCTCAATCCAAACTCCTAGAGATAGTTCTGCCGATAGCTTCCGCGTTGTTTGTGTTAGTTGTCGGCATTCTAGGTGTTATAATGGTGAGGAGACATATTAGGTATAAGGAGGTGCGTGAGGATTGGGAGGTTGAGTACGGCCCTCACCGATTCTCTTACAAGGATCTGTTTCATGCCACCAAGGGATTTAAGGACAGGAATTTGATCGGCGTAGGCGGGTTCGGAAGGGTGTACAAAGGGGTTCTTCCGACATCTAAATCGGAGGTTGCTGTAAAGAGGGTATCGTACGACTCGAAGCAGGGCATAAAGGAATTCGTCGCTGAAGTCGTAAGCATTGGCTATCTTCAACACCGTAATATCGTGCAATTACTTGGATATTGCAGGCGGAAAGGTGAACTTCTCCTAGTATATGATTACATGGCGAATGGAAGCCTCGACAACCACTTATATGGTCAAGAAGGAAATGCTACTTTAGGCTGGGGGCAAAGATTCCGGATTATCAAAGAGATCGCGATGGGTTTGCTCTACCTTCATGAAGAATGGGAAAAAGTCGTCCTCCATCGGGATGTCAAGGCAAGCAACGTGCTTCTTGACAAACAGATGAATGGAAGACTAGGAGATTTCGGTCTCGCGAGGTTGTACGACCATGGTACCGACCCGCAGACCACACATGTTGTTGGCACAGTAGGATACCTAGCTCCAGAGCTAGTACTCAGAGGTAAAGCAACCACTCTCACCGATGTATTTGCCTTTGGCATCTTCATTCTTGAGGTTACCTGTGGGCAAAGGCCTATCAAGGAGGACCCACAAGGCAACCAGCTCGTCCTGGTCGATTGGGTGCTTCAGAACTGGCACAAAGGATCACTTCTTGATGTAGTGGATGCCAATCTTCAAGGTAGCTATGCCACCAGTGAGGTGTGCCTTGCGCTAAAACTAGGGCTCTTATGCTCGCACCCATTTCCCGAAGCAAGACCCAGCACGCGGCAAGCTATGCAGTACCTTGACGGTGACATGCCACTCCCGGAGCTGCTGCCGGCACACTTCAGCTTCCACATGTTGGCCCTGATGAAGAATGAAGGCCAAGTTGACTCGTCCACAATGTTGCCCTATCCTTCGCCGATGATGACGAGCTTTGGCTCAATATCAGACTTCTCGATACATGGGAGGTGATATGTGCACACATGGCCGCCCTCAAGTTATGATGTTGGGTGTTTGTGCGTAGCATTTTTTGTTTTTTGACAAAGGGTGGGTTTATGTGTAGTACTCCCTCCGTTCCAGTTCCACAATGTAGTGCTTATAATGTTTTTTTTTGAAAAGTCAAACTTTACAAACTTTGATCAAGTTTATATAAAAAATATATTTATATCTATAATACCAAATATATAAAATATGAAACTATGTCTTATGATGAATCTAACGATATATGTTTGGCATACTAGATGTAAATATTTTTCTCCATAAACTTGCTCTAAATTTGTGAGGTTTGACTTTTGAAAAAATCTATATGTGTTGTATTATTGAACAGAGGGAGCATATAGTTGTAAACATGATACTGGATGTATATATTGTTAACTATATTTCTCCTTTTGTAATGAGATATAGTAGTCATATCTATATAGATTCTCCATTGACCCTGTAAACCTGGGAAGCTGGCCTCTCAACATCGGGCGATGGAGCGCTTGTTTGGATTTAAAAAGAACGAGCTGACTATTTGGGCGTGGGAACCGGGCAACTTGTCGTTATCATATGATGATGCTCAGCTTGTTCAAACAACCCATTGTTTTCTTCATGTTTTCTTTCTTTACTGAGAAGAAGATGTGGATGGTGGAAGACCTACAGCACCATGAATACGTGAACCGCCTGCTCTAATAATTTTAGAAAAAATACGCCGAAAGGGACCGGCTGCCATTTCTGCCCCGTTCAACAAAGACAAAGAAAACGACGTCAAAGAAGCAAAATGTCTACAGCAAGCCACGAGACTTGACTAGTTACCTTCCTCTTGGTTTTTTTTTCGGGGGGGAATTTGATTCATTCCTACCTGATTTTGATGTAGGGTAGAATATTGCGACACCATGAACGCGAGGCAGCTCCAACGGTCGGCTTCAATTGAGAAAAAACTCGAGCCAGCTCGCTACGATGAAAATTGCTTATACTCTTTTTTCCACTGAGGCGTGAAAAGAAAAGGGAAACCGCATCCTCGAACACTTATCTCTGGAATACCCTTCGTCTATATGCTAATATTAATTCTTGGGTGGAGGCAGATTCTTCCGCTCCAGACTTGACTATTTTTTGTTTCTCTATCGATGATGTAATCCATAGTTAAATACTTCCTCCAACCCACAATGTAACTTGCTTTAGCATTTGTCCTAGTCAAAGCTTTTAATTTTGACCATGTTTGTAGAAAAAAATTCTAACATTTATGACACCAAATTAGTAGTATCACTAGATCCATTGTCAACCATATATATTTTATATTGTAAACTAACTTTTATTTCACACATCATATTTTTATAGAAATTAATGGTCAAAGTATCACCGTGGAGACCATGTCAATATCAGAAATTCATTTATATTTTTGAAATGGGTGTAATAGTAAACATGATTCGATAGGGGAAAAAAAATTCTACAATAACACAGTGAGCAATAGGGTATCTTCCTGACCACCTTCTTCAATAAAAGAAATGAGGTGGCTGCTACTAAGCTCTAAACAACTTCTGCCTTTTCCCACCAAAGATAATGAAGGGACATGATGCCAAAGAGGGTTGATATGTCATCTTTCACCTAGCCGCATGATTTTTTGTAAGTTTGATTCATTCCTGACAATGAAAGAAAATCACATCATCGGACACCTATACCGCTAGACTAATTAATGTAAGTGGAGTGCGCTCGAGACTTGACTTGTCAAGGTTTTATTGTTATTTCTTTCAACTTTGTAATCCACGGGTAAATAATGAACCCGGTTTTGATAGGGGTGGAGTTCTATAACACCATCAAACAGTGGGGTGTCTGTGTCTCCCCGACCAATGACTTACATAAATAAAAAAAATCAGAAAATAATACTACATACGACCTCCTCTCGAGTTTACTAGACCCACATGCTAGACCAATAAATATGAGTTGTGTGCTCCAAAAAATGTATCACTGAAAACTTCTCTTGAATACAAATTTAGTAGTACTTTTTATGACATTTTTTTGTTGGTCAAATTGGCTGGCCTCAAAATATGTGGAGCCTTTGTAAACCTGAAAGGAGGGAGTAACCAAACAATGAAATTGAATTCGATGGGGTAGTATTTTGCAGCAAACCCCGAGCAATTAGATGTCCACCTGACAACTGAAAACGACTTTAACAATAAAAATGATACCTTGAAAGGACACAGTAATGAAGTGTGCAATAAAAAAATTATAGATTGGGAGCCTCTTGAATGACCCTAGCTTTATTACGCAAAAGAATGATCCTACCTTTTTCGAAAAGGAGGATGACCTCATGCCTCTGCATCGATTGATGCACATATCAATACTATGCTAGTCAAAGCCAAGTATCGTTGCCAATAAATTGGCTTATAAAAAATAAAGAAAACCCAAGACCATCCAATTTGGACATGCCTTGCAGCAGTCTCTCCACAATCCTACCACGAACCCTATGACCATGGACCATATTCCACCGGTCGAATGACATGTGACGGCATAATGAAAAGTTCGCTACTCCTAGACAAAGCATTCAAGAAGGGATCGCAATACGCGGGCCAATGTTGATGGGCCTAACCAAAAGTCGAACTTGGAATTCTCTTTCCCAAAGCCTAGCCTCAAACCTACACCTTCAACAAGTGCATGCCGCACGCATGTCGACATTGCCTGATCTAGCAGGAGATGTGAGATAATAGCAGGAGATGCGAGATAATAGGCTTTCACTGAGAGAGTGTGCATACTTGATGTCAAAACCGTCATTTCTAGCACCTCTCTACCGACTGACGCCTTCTCGCTAACCGGATCCTGGCACTAATAGACCTCAATGCTTGCCCGTGCCGATGGAGAAAACACTAGAAGCAGCTTCAAGACCTCGCGGCTCGCCTCCGACCACAATATCGTTACCTTCAATCCTCGTTGTTGAGAGAGGGAGAGGTGGTGGACAAAGGGTTATGACCAGATCGAAAAATCCCAAAATCGTGCAACGCCCAATAAATGGCCATATCTGCATCCACCTCGTCTTGGGACGGCCTGGCCCAACATCCTACTGGGGCACTGCCGTGAAAGGCTACTGGCTCGACCCCATCGCCATCGAGACACCTCCATGTCCATGCCTAGATGTGCACGTCGACCGCTGGTCCAAGAGCCTGACTACCGCCATTGTCGACCCCAGGACTTCATGGCGCACCATCGGCCTCCCCCACCATGTCAGTGAGGGACACCACCACTAGATCGATCCATGTCGGACCGCCTCTCCGAAAACTGCCATTGTTTCGTGTGAACCGCATCGGTCAGGGCCGCCTCGGTGTTGTCCAAGAGAACTAGGCCCCGCTGCCACCGTTAGCCATGCAAGCTTCACTCATCAACATCCTATGGTGGTGGTGAGGGTAGCGAGGGGGGGGGGGAGACAGGGGCAACAGTTAGGGTTTTGCCCGTACCATCCCTAATGATGATGCGAGCGACCCATTTGTGTGTTTTGACGGTTAGATCTTCAAATGGACCTACCTTTATACTGAACTACATAATTTTGCCCCCTTTTCATACCTTGACTATAGATGAGCACTACATTT